AGTCCCCTACATCAATCCATCTCTCCAAGTGCCCTTCAGCTCAGCAGATTGTGCTGAACCACCATCCCCCACCAAGCTTGGCTTCTGTGGTCACTTGGCTTTGCTGACACCTTACAGGCTGTGGCTCAGCTGCACACAAAGATATCACAACCTGTTGCACAAATCTCAGCAGTAAACACCAGGCTGTGGAGAAGAAGAATGACATGAGCAACTGCCTAGACTTGTGTACCTGGCATGAGCAACTGCCTAGACTTGTGTACCAGGAGGCAACACGTGGAAGAAAAACAGGTTGTGCTTGAACAGGGTCCTTTCCAGGTGGTTTAGGGAAAGGAGCTGAGTTTGCATTCAAGATGACATGGGTGAAAGTAGGAATGTTCCTTGCAGGAGCATTACCTGATGCAAACATTCTGCCCTTGATCCTGTCAGCATCCTTTCCTTGCAGGCAGGGCAGGTTGGAGCTGTGTCCAGGCACCATGCTGTCTAGAGGTCCAAGGGAAATTAGATAAGGAATTAATGCCACTGCAATCAAAAGTCTCTGAGCAATCAGCATGTTGTGCCTGGGGAAACAGTGCTGGAGGTTGTCTTCTGCAGGCAGCATATCCCCCTGGGATGTCAGCAGGAGCAGGGAGATGGAGAACATTTTCCACAGTGGATGTTCTCCAGAGCTTGTACACTTCTCCCCAAGGATTTTGATGTCATGACAATGCTTCTCATGCTTAGCATCACACACAGGAAGCAAATATCCCAGCTCCCAGTTATCCCAGTGGTCAGCAGACTGGTGCTGTGCCATGGTTCCAGAGAAATGAGACAGCATCCTGGGAGAACAGTCCCTTTTGGTCTTTGTCAGGGACATCTTTTAGCCAGTTACGGACAGGAAACTATTTTTTTGGTGTTGCAAAATATCAGTTGAGCAGCTGGGACATGTGGATTTCAGGGAAGTGTGGGATCTTGAGTGAGACAGGAATACCCCAGACAGCACCCAATGTGCCACGTGGTCTGCAGTGTGCTCCCCACGCTGAGGAGCTGCCAGTGTTTTCTATTTATACTCAGTCACTAAGAAACAATGAAGAGAACTCCTTATGGGAAAGTCATTAACTCCAGAGAACTTGGCAGGTGAGCAGTGCTGGGAGGGCTCTAAACCCCAGGGCTGTACCTACAGCAGCAGGAGGTGTTTTACTGGGAGGCTGAGCTTGAGACTTCCTCCCCACTGGTTCCTCCAATCCCTTGGCCTCACTGCCCTCTTGGAGTCAATTAACTGCCATGACACAGGCTCGTGCCCTGCCCTGGGGAACAGCCCTTTTTGTGCTGGTCTTGGCTCTGCTCCCAGCAGAGCCTGGGGAAAGAGGACTTTAGTTTGGGAGATAAGCTGTGCAGTGTTTGGTTTCAAGAGTCCACCAAACAACACAGCTAACCAATAAATGTTCTCTTACCTCTCCCACTGCAGTCACAGAATGTCAACTTTTCACCTAGGCCAGCAATCCTCAATTTCTGCTTAAATACCTGCCTAGTCTCAAATTCCAGGTGTTTTCTGGAAGCCACACAATCCAACCAGTGACACAAGATGGGCAGATAAAAAGCCCAAACAGCACTCAGTCATAAAAACTTGTACAGAAGATGAACAACAGGCAGAGAGAGGTTTGAAGGAACCTACAGGAATAAATGCAGCTCAGTTCATTTATGGCATCACTTGTTTTGAATGCTGTGGCTGATCTCACACTCCCAAGAACGAGATACTGTGTCCTACAGAGCCCTGGTCTGTGGGCTGCATTGTAGACATAGTTGGGGCCATGGAAAATGTGAAAGCAACACAAAGAAACAATGGGAATGATTGGCACAAGGACTGCAACAAGACTCAACAGCCCCAGTGGCACTCGGTTTGCTTTCAGGCAGAGAGGAGGGGGGAGCCTGCCAGGCACAAAAGCCTATTGAAAAGGTGTTTGTCTGAAGGAGCAGTGCCAAGGCCTAGTTGAACTGGGTTCCAGCTGACTTTAAGACCTCAGGAGAAGGGTTACTGAGATAGGCTTCACTCCTCTGCAGAAAGGAGGAGCTATGTGGGCACTCTGGAAAAAGCCACAGTCAGGGCTATGGCTCAGGTTGGACAGGGAAGTTCAGGATAAAAAGAGATTTGCTTAAAGACTTAAAGGCATCTCAGAGTCAAAAACGTTAGCAGCAAGCAGAGCTCAGTGCAGATAAAGGATCAAAATTTAAAGAAAAAAAACCTGTAAAAAACCAGGAATCACAAAGGAGGTGGGTCCCAAGTCAGGTCACAAGCCAAGCTAGCTGAATTTCAAAGCCTCAAGGAGGTTTGAAAGCAGCAGGATTCAGCTTTCCTAGATCCAGGTGAAAAACAAGCTTCCCCTTCTGGTGCCCCCGTGACTTGGGTGAGTCACAGGTGATTGCCTCTGAACCCTGAGTGACATGGCAATACCTGGAGAGAGCTGTACAAGAAAGTAACAACAACTCTGCAGAATCCAACGAGTCCCAGGAACAACTCTCACCTCAAAAATGCTTCTCAGAATAACTTGCAGCATCTTAGTTGCAAGTTAAATCAATTACACATTTTGTTCCCCGTGTCAGAGGAAGGGCTGAGATTTCAACTTCTTGCTTATAAAACACACCAAATGTCAGAGACTAACTGTGCTTTAGATTCCTCAGTCAACATGACACACTATGGAGAGATAGGAACAAGTAGAGAGTGTTGTGCTCATGGAGATGCTGGAGAGCTGAACTAGAAAAGCACAGCAAATACCTCCTTTCAAGTCCTGTCTTTCAAAGGCTGGGGAAAAAAAAAGTCTTGGTAAAAACAAGCACCTGCTGTTCAGTGCAGAGAGCTGAAGACAGAGGACAGCTTCAGGATCTTCGTGGGATGAGTTTATGCAGAAAGACAGGCCATGAACAGTGGTCTCCTCCTCCTGGAAACAGCCAGCAAGAATAGCCCTTTTCTTCTCCTCCTGTTTGTGCAGCTGTAGTCTTGCTGGCAAGAGGGGAAGGAGAATGAGCTTGAATCCTGAGAGGGGGCAAAAAGAAAACCAACAAAGCTCAGTGAGTTCCTGGGAAAAGCAGCCTATCTCCTAGACTTGTTGCTTTGTTCTTAGACATATCATTAGCATTCCCTGCTCACTCCTTCCTCATCCTCTTCATGTGCCAGCCACAAGCAGAAGGGTTTTAAATAACAAACTGGGGAAAATTTGATGGTGCAACTAAGAAATACAACAGCTACATAGCAGCTACCTCATACAGCACAACTCAGCTGGGGAGAGGGGATTGGCTATAAGGTGAACAAAGCCTAATTTTTGCCAAGTTTGCATAGAAATTGTAACTTACTGCCAAGTTGGGGTTTTTTTTTTTGTGTCAATTAGCCCTGTATATGCTACTTTGGCAGCCCAAACAGCTCCTCTTTGCTAGAGGCAACAAATAAACACCTTGTTGAAAGCACATCCAGCTGTTACCCAGGATCCTGCTTAGCATTTTGGTTTCCAAATCCAAGTTAAAAAAAAAAAAAAAGAAAAAAGGTAAAAAAAAAAAAAGCAGCAGGGTAAATTGTTTTCGTAAAGCCAGGGAAAACAAACTCAGGGACACACTGTGCCAGAGATAAGGAGCTCAAGGATGCTGCCCCATCCTGCCCTGGTGACAGGTCCAGCTGCTGCAGAGAAGAACATTCAGCAACTGCTTTAACTAGCTAAATACAGGTTTAAAAATTTTTTCCCCCCCCCCGGAGTTAAGACCTTTGGTTACAGAGTCACAGAAACTCGGTTGTACCATAGAAACACTTCTAGTGTCAGTATTTATTTTTACCTTAATATACATTTATACAGGCCCATAATAAAAAGGCTAATATGCAACAGTTCTGTGAGTTCTGACCTAGTGCCAAGAATAATGCATGCAATTACAAAGGAGAGGTAGAAACACCGTATTAAAGACCTAAAAATACAAACATTATATAAACAAACACTTTCAAATTAACTGTTGGAATTTCATACAGATAAATAAGGTAAAAAGTACATTACTCTGTCAAAGTAAAAGGAAACACATGGTTATCCCAACACTGAAACGAGATTTTTTGATGTGTAAGCCCTGTACAACTTTGTCAAATAGTTCAGACCACTGTGTTTAAGAGGATTAAAATGATTTTTTTTTTAAATTTTTTTTTTTTGTCCTGGAGAATGGTTTATTCAAGTATTCAAGCAGTTGAGTAACAAAAAAAAAGTCCCCAAAAATAAAGTGTAGGAACCATTTCCAGAGAAGCTGATCTGCCTAAAGACTGTCCTGATGATCTCATGGGATGCTTGAAATGATGATGCCTATAAGGCTAAATGAAGCTTCCCACCTCTCCCCCAAAATGCACACAAAATAATCCTGATTTTTCTATGTAGAGATTCTCCACTCATTTATCAGCATCTCCAATGGCAACATTATTTTTCTGGCTTTTTTTTTTTTTTTTGCATGGTTCCTTGGCAGAACCTTTTCAGTTTACAGTATTTATTGTAATACTGCCCCAAGAAACAAACTACAGAGAACTGTCATTACACCCCTAAAAAGACTGCAGGCATTAATGCACAGATTGCATGCACAACAAAAGATGCAACCAAACCTATAGAAAAAGCAAACAACCAGCAACTCAACATTGCTATTACTGAGAGAGTCCAGAGCAGTAGTTACTCAAGTATTAGACAAACAGGTATAAAATGGAAAGGTTCACATGAATACAAGTTTTTACAGTTTGTTTGAAAGTCTTCTAGAAGCTACATTTGAAATTCTGAAAAGAATTTTATGTACACTGAAATGAAATTCAGCCAAGTCCGTTGTGCCTTCTTTCTCTAGGTTTTGTGTTCTATTAGAGTTCTTCAAAAATGAATATACAGTTGCTTTAGTAAATTAGTGCAAAACAAAATATTTTGGAAGAAGATCATCAAATTGTATCCACATCAGCTGAAAACCCCCTGGGGATTTTGCATGGATGGAGAGAATCTCTTCCATCTCCACTTCTCCCCCCGTGTCAGAGCATTTTCACCATCCCTTCGTATCACAACCTGAGCCATGGTTACAACAGGTGAGCTCCAATTCAAGGCAGCTTAGCCCCAAAAGCTTCAAGCAGCACATGGTTAGGGTTTCCCAAATTCACTCGGCCACATTTGACTGACAACTTAAAAAACTCTCGAGGGAATCTTCTGAGGGAAATGTCTCTTTGTACCTGATGCAGAAGGATCCACTCTCTAAAAACCTCCCGAGGGATAAAAAAAATAAAAACAAACAACCCCTGATCATTCAAGTTCAAAGCACGCGTACAAGGATCAGTCTGAAATGTGAAGAGAGATTCTTTTGAATGCTGTTGCTAGGAAGGAAAAGGAGCTGCTGGATTGGTAAGGCAAGTGTACTTTTGGAATTTCTCCTCTTTGAATATGCTGCTGTTTCTTTGGTAGTCACCACAGAAATGTAAGAATCATCTTCCACGTGGGGCAGAACAAGGACAACAATGAAGCTGTAGTGAAAGAAAGTGCAGTATCACTGATGTGGTCCCTTATGTTCACACCATCTGGTCCTGGGGATGTTCCTACTGCTCATACACAGCCACTGTGCTGTAGCAGAGTGCAGAAAGCCTTCGCTCGATGCTGGATTTGTCTGCAGGGAGAGACACACGACAGGTCATCACCAGGGTTATGTCACAGAGCACTCAATCCATGGCATTTTCAGTGCTCAGCATGAACTTACACTTGTGGACGTTTTCTATATCTGCAGGGTCTTGCAGGATTTTAGTCAGTCCTTCCAGCAGCAAAGCTGCTTTGTGGTATCGATACGTGATATCTTCAGTCTGCTGGAACATCTCATCCAGAGCTGCTGACTGCACCTGCAATCAGGTGACATAAACTGCATTAGGCAAGGAATGCAATGAAGAAATCAGAATTAATGATGTGTCATTAAGAAACTACTTTTGAGCCTTCCAACTTACTTATAAAAACAGCTAAATGAACTTGATGGTCTTTAAGCTCCTTTCCAACCCAAGCCATTCTGTGATTCTGAGAGAACATAGACCTGTGCTGAGAATATTTTGCACAGAAAAGCTAAAAAAGCACTTTTTGATCTTTTGGGTGACGTAAGCCATTCTGTGATTCTGAGAGAACACAGCACCTGTGCTGAGAATATTTTGCACAGAAAAGCTAAAAAAGCACTTTTTGATCTTTTGGGTGACGTATGGATAAATGTATTTGTTTTTCTACCTACATTCTCTTGTAAAGAAGACAAAGTAATTGTGCACAACTGCACCACAATCAGGGCTAAGCACAACAATTGCCACAATCTTTGGTGTGCTGTGTTTAAAAAACTCCCTCTCACCCAAAAAGCAGCAAAGTTTGCTGCATGGTTTCTGCCTCTGCAGCCAGAAGTATCAATTAGATGAAGAAGCTTTCACATGTTTGCTACCATTTCTGCTTTGCATGGAGAGAGTGATGCTCAGATTGACCTGGTAGGTTGATGAAGCTACTCCTGTGCTTTACTGAGCCTTCCTGGATGAGACTTGAGCACACAGAGCTGTGTGGTTTGGGAGTTCATTTCCTAGTGCTTATGTACCAAAAGTGCTGATGTAGGGGGGAAACATCCCTGTGGAACAGTATCTGCCAGGAACTGTAGCCACAGTTAGGGCTGGAAAGAAAGTGAAAGACTAACAAGAATTACCATGAAGAGAATTCTGGAAATACAGATTCAGTTTTCCGGTTATGCACAAGAGGTTTGTGAGAGGAGGAAGCAGTTCCTCTCATTCAGGCAAAAGACTTACCATTTCCACAGCACAGCTGTAGATGAGTTTCTCTGCAGTTACACTGTTGATTTCATCAATGAACCTTTGCTTGTCCGAAAAGAAACGATTCAACTTTTCTGTCAGTTTCTTGCACATGCCAATACAGAATTTGTATCTCTCGTTGAGGCTTTTCACAACTGGAAGAAAGGTAAGAAGAAATTAGGAAAAAAAAAAAACAAACCCAAAACCAACCAACAGCATAACCAAAGTTCAGCTTTTCCCAGCACCAGCAAAATCAATTTGCTTATTTACTCCACCACTTCTATCAACTGAAGTATAAATCAAACATTTTCCATTTCAAAGTTAGTAACTGCTCATTTCCCAACATTTTCTGGCTGTATCTTTGTTTACTAGCAGAGTTGGGCAATTACAAGAGAATTGTGGATATGTGCAACACAAGAAAAACAAACACATGTTGCAACTTAAACTTTTGGAGTGATGTGTCGGCAAGGAAAAGTCACAAGCAAAGCAAATCAGATGATGTTGCATCTACCTTGCTTCACAGCAGTGGATGGGTTCAGCTTCCCTGACTTGACCTGGGCTTTGGCAAGGTGCAGGGAAGATGCCAGTAACTGTGCAGCTTTCATGTACAACACCAGCTGCTCCACTTGCCTAGGGAGAGAGGGGAATAAAATAACAATCAGGCATCAAAACACCTTTCTTGAACTCACTAGAGCCATGGGCAGACACCACTTTTTGATCACAACCCTGCCCAGGACTCAGCAGCAGCAGAAAAAAGAAGGCAGATGTTTAAAATGCAGCTCCACCCCTCCCCTCCCTTCCCTTCACAAACACTCTGTCACGGGTTCAGGCCACAGCTGCTCTTCCAGTAGCTGCAGCAGCAAATACAAACTGCTCTAATGCAGATATTTGAAAAGGAACACTTTATTTGTGGGGCTCACTGCCCGAGGTCAGTGTCTCACCACAAGTGATTGGGTGTACTTTTCTTGCAGTGTCACTTCCTTAAGCCCCTGGAATTCTCAGTGGTGAAAAGCAAACACTTTGCAGGCTTTTTTGTTAGGCTGAGGCTGGGTTTTTTTTCAGGAAGAAGGCAGGAAGTGGAACTGCCCTTTCCCACCACTCCACGTTTCTCATATTTCCCACTGCTTTTGATTTTTTATTAGGGCTCTTGGGTTTCACTGAACAAACAGTCCCACTTGGACACTCCTTCCCATTTCCTACCTCCACCTTGGTGCCACTGCTTCAGTCAACAGGAAGGGATGAGTGCTCAGATCTGAACAGCTGGTGCACAAGTTTCCATGCTTAGAAAGGCACTGCTGCACCTCAACCCTGAGCTGATGTGGCAGACCAGAAAACACTGATCTTTTATTTGTCTGCTAGCAAATAAATCCTTCTGATCCATCTTCAGTTGTTTAAAAAATTATTCCTCTCAAGATTCTGCACAGCCAAACAATCACCCCCAACAAAAAGGGCACAGTTTCAATACATTTTTGATGCATTCAGTCTTCACTAATTCTCCTGATCCTATCTGACTGCATACTCACCCCCACTCTTTGCTGAGCTGGCTGATCTGATCCACAACTACGCTCTCTTGGATTTGGTACAGTGACACAGCAGAAGTACACAGGTCTGGGTTTCCTCCTCTCACTGCAGTCAGATCCAGAACACACTCTGTAAATGTCAGCATCATGTTTAGGTGACGCAGTGTGTCCGTGTGTTCTCTCTGTCACAGGGGAAGATGAGACAACAATTTAACCATGATAAGCCCTCCAGGCCATCAAGTCCACACTTAGAATTCTTGCTAATCATTTGAGGATTCCTTGGTATGTCAGTTCTATGCAGAAATCACAGGGTGGTAGAGCCAGTACTAGGCACTTACAAAACCCAATGGGCCTTAATAGATCAACAGATAATAACTTGTTATTTCTGTGTTAATGAATTCAAGATACTGAAGAGTCTTTCAACAAAGCCAAAGGAATTGGTACATGGAGTTCTGTGTTTGCTGAAACCTGAGAATCTAAAGGAATCACAAATGGGACATATTACTAGTTATTATATTATCAGCAACACAAAAGTATGCTTGGCACTTGGATGAGAAGCCAGGGGGAACATTTGGCTTTCATTATGCAACAGACTTGATACCTACAAAAGAACTGAGCTAAGGCTTCATACTTCATCTGCTGCACTCAAATTTACACTTAGTTCTTGAATTATATTGTGTTCCAAAGTGGTTGTTGCCAAAGTTTACAATTTAGACTAAACAACTTCAATTGGAGGTAACAACTCACTGCTGCTCAGTGAGTAAAACAGACACTAGACAAAAACAGTCTTCAAAACTAATCAAACACACAAAATATTGAGAATATTTTCGTTAGTAATGGAGGTTTAAATGCATTTTAAACTGTGGGAAGAGTATGGTGTACTGTCAAATAGACATGTCATAACATCCAGATGAAATAGGGATCCAAACACCTTCCAGCAAGATGGGAATGAGAAAATGGAACAGCAATCTGTCTTGACAATTGTATAGTCCCAGGATAGCACTCTGGTGACAGACCATCCCAATTGGTGTTTTTCAAGTGTCACTCCTCCACACATTAAAAAAAAATATAGGACACTCTTCCAACAAGTAGGATTTAACGTCATGCTCTGACTGTGAAGCAGCAGTGAAATGCCCAGAGGGGCATTGGTACTGTCAGCACCCACGTCCAGAGATGTGGCACTGAACAGGCCTCTCTGGGAGGCTCTGCTGGACAAAAGCAGTGATGTCCCTTTGGTTCCCTAACCAATGCCAGGAGTAACTACCAAAAAGAAATTGGCCACAACTCATACAGGAATATTATAAAGAAACATGTGAGAGTGAAGAGGAAACTACAGAGTGCACCGAGCACTCCTGGTTTTACCACATCTCTGTTCTAGCAACATTTATACATTATAAAACATGAAATTATGTGTTTTCTATACCTCCATTAAAGTTTCCTCAGGCAATTCAGGAGCTTCAAAAGTGATAAAGCCCTCTAAGCTGGGAGGTGAAGTGCCATAAGGCATGTACTTCAGACTTGGAGCTGCCTCAGCCCCCGGAGGAGAAGAGCCCATATAAATACCAGGAGGAGAGCCCATATACACACGGCCACTAGTGGAGCAGAGAGACCCTCCAGAACTGTTTGATCCAACTACAAGAGAAACAAACACACATTCAGTCTGCTAGGTTGTTGATGACAGCAAGTGACAGAGCAGTGGTCACCACAGAGCTCCTCTGAGGCTCTGCTCACTGCTCCTGGCATCACTCTGTAGGGAATGCAAAGGCTACAGCATGATCAGCAGTGCCAGTTCACACACAGGTTCTGGGATGTGGCTCACAAGGGTTCCAAGGCACAGAGTCCAAGAGTACAGCCCAAAGGTTGTGCTGGAGTTCATAACAACAGCACACTGCTGTGGACTCCTGCTCACCCTGAGCAGGTGAAGACCTTTCTACCTCGAGATCTTTGACATTTGACAACACAGTTGACATGTGCCAAAATGCAGTCAGCTCACACCCTTTGTATGCTGTTTCTGGTACAGTGCACAGCAGCAGGCAAAAAACAGAATTTTAACTTTTCCTCTCCACCTCTGTCACAGAGATTATCCTCCCTGTGGTGGAGTGAAGCTGTGTACATGGGAGGTTACACACTGCTGACCTGTAAATCTGCCTCTGACCCTCTTTAGGAGGGAAGAGGCAGAAACCAGCTCATATTCAGCTCTGCTTTACAGAGCACTTTACTGTATGGCCTAGAGGATCTGTGCAAGGCAGCAATCAGGTTATTCACTCAAGGAGTGGAACAAGCCTAAATATTGTGCTTGAGAACAGTCCACAGCTGGCAGGAAAGTCTTACCTGAGGTGGTTCTTGTTCTGAGGACCATATGAGTGCAGGTAGGAGGGGTGGCACTGCTTGGAGGGGACCCAACAGTAAACATGACAGCCCGAGAACTTGCCCCACTTCCCATGGAAGGAGTTGCCATTGCAATTCCATAGGCTCCTGCTGGGGCTGGAAGAGAAAATGTCAACAAGTTACTCCCTGTTACACATGATCATACCAATAAGTAACTATATGCAGCAAAGTGGAGAACTGCAACACAACATGTTTTGATGTAGATCAAGGACTTGAACTAGTTAGTTCTGACAGGAAATAAAACAGGCTGAGTGGCCTCAGTGATACAAAAAAAAGAGTCAAGATGCAGTCTGCATGTATCTTTTTACTTTCAGTATGTCTCTGCTCTACTCTCTCCTAGAAAAGAGCAACAGAGACTCCCTGAGAGCCTGAGGACACCACCAGTCCTGCAGAAAAGAGACAAGGGAAAAGCTCTAAAGACAGCCCATGATGGGGCTGGAGGTTAAAGACCTGCCCTGCCTGCAGAACTCCTTGCATCTGCTCACAACTGAGGACTTCTGGTGGCCACTTGTGGCAAAGGACAACTCAGGGAGGGAGCAGGAAGTAAACAAGACCCAGAATTATATAAGCTGTCTTTCATATGAAATCAAGGTGGAATTAGGAAATGAAACAGCCACAAATATTGACTTCAAAAATAAAACCAAATTGAAAAAAAAAAAACCCAAATCCCTCCAGCCAGTATAGGCAGTCAAGATATTTCTGTGTTTAGCACAGAAATAGCTATTTTCCTGTCTCGGTTATTTTTAAAGCTATGCTAAAGAAATGGAACCGATCTCCTTAAAGATGAAAAAAACACCTTCTGTACTGAGGCTAAAAATTGTCAGGACCAATTATCGAAGTTGGAAGCAGATCTGTATCTAGTTGGCACTCCATAAACACCCAAGCACATAAAGACAGCTTGGATGTGTCACTCTGTTCCTCACCTGTATCCATTGGCCTCTCTGTGTTCAGGCTGTCTGTACTGCCTTGGTATAACTGGCCCCCAAGTGTAGTCTTCACCTGTTGCTCTGACAGCTTCCCAGTACTCACAGACCTGGACCAGAAAACAGGAATTACCAACAAAATTCCTCAGTAAGATCTTCCCACCTAACTTGCAATTCAGGATGACTCTCAGATTCTTGGTATTTACTACAGAGGATTCTTCAACAAAAATACAGCAAGTCTTGAAAACTCCCTGTTGGTCATGAACCTACTAAAATAGAGCTAAGCATAAAGAGACCCTTTTTTCCCCTTAAAAATTTATACTGCACATTTTGCCATAGAGATCAAGCAAAAACTGAGCAGACTTTATAAAGGCAATGAAATTCCAGATTCAGATAATCAAAACAAAAGAGAACTAGACAGCGACACAAAGTGGTGCAGGAAGTCCCTGCTCTATTTATACCCAGTACAAACTGTTTCTGTTGCACACCACAAACCTCACCATCCCCTCCGAGCTGCTGTGAGCAGTGTGTTCTCTGCCCAGTTACCTCCCCAACCCCACAGGGTACAAACCCTGCAGTGCCTACCTGCCAAAGGTGGTTTTGCTGTGCTGCTCTCCCAGCTGCTTGTCAGCTCCCTGGGCCGAGTGGAAGTGTGTGAAGTCCCTCGGGTCAGTGATATCTTTAGGCTGCAAAGGGGTTTCGGCCAAGCCCTGGCGATTGGCCAGGGCCAGCAAGTTTGAGGACGCTTGAGTTTTGGGTATTTTGAAAGGAGCTGTTGCCTTTAAGATTCAAAACCAAGAACATGCAAAAAAAAAGAAGCCCAAAGTTAGAACCTCAAAATAACTCTTAGGAATGGTTTCAGGCAGTGTGTTACCACCTCACGTTCTCCTGACAACAGCAAACTTAACAAACCTTGGTGGGAGAGCCGATGATGGTTGGGAGTGGAGTTTTGAAGAGCCAGTCTGAGCTCCTGGGTGAGGACCCCATGTGTTTGGTAGGTGATGTTCCCAGGCTCCCTGGCCTGCTTGGTTGTGGAGAATGACTGTAGCCATACCCAGCATAGGATGGGCATACTGGGTCTGAGTGCTGCTTTCTGAGCTTCTGCTTGTTTTGGTAGATATCTGTGAGAGTAGGAGCACTCTGCAACCTTGCTCCCATCAGAAGCGACTGTGGAGACTGAGATGGTATTGGAGAACCTGTAGGGATGAGAAACAATCAAGTAAAATTCTACTTGGAACACCTGTCAATGAAGCCCAAAATTCCAGAGCACAGCATTAACCTGAAAGGATACAGGACTACAAATACTGAGACATGTTTGATTAGCTCACTATAAGGCAAGGAGAATGGATTTAGCACATGGATCATTTGGACTAAGGCTCCAGTACACTGATGAGATGTTCAAGCTGCCAAATAGGCAAGACTTGAGGGTGACAGCTGTACTGGCAGCTGCAGTACATTTGGCAACCTGCAGCAAGACAAATCAAGGGGATGGCTCCAGCA